GCGCCGGGGGGCCACAGCAAAGTGGCAGGAAGAGCCGGGCTTCGCAGGGCTGGAGAGAGTGGGCGGTGTGGACTTGTCCTACATCAAAGGAGACGACACCAACGCCTGCGCTTCCCTGGTTGTTCTCAGCTTCCCGGCTCTTGAGGTAACGGCCAACAGCCTCGCTCCATGGTTGTGTCCAGCAACGTGAGGTTTTTATGGAAAACCTCCGGGAAGGCCGTTGTCCGCGGAGCCTCGGCCTCATGGGGCGTCGGTGGGTTACCGCGCGTGCGGGCAGGAAAACCTCCGACCGCGCGTTACCTGGGGGAGGTGAAGGGGATTCAGTCAGCCTGAGGGATCAGGCGTAAGGTCGGGAAGATGCGACGGAAACCGCTCCTGCTTGGGAGAGGTTCGTAGGATTCCTGGGAGCTTCAGGGCGTGGAGGGATAGGTGTAGCGTGCATTCGTGGGGGTGCATCAAATGACCCCGGTGAGGCAGGGGCTGTGGGCAGGCCCGGGAGGCCGTGGCTGGGTTAGGGATTTATTGGAAACCGGCAGTCCTGGCCCCTGCCCAGGAGGAGGCGAAAGGACCGTTGTTACGAGCAGGAGAGGAAGTGAAAGCGTTTGCAGCTCTCCAACAGCAGATGTTGGCGAGTTCTTGCTGGGAACCGACTAATAACACGGGATGTAACAAAAACCTTTCCAAAACCGCCGCGAGTCCCGCATCCCGCCGTCGCTGTGCTTGGATTAATAAAGATTTTTGGTCTCTTTCCCAGCTTTCAAAATGATATCAAAATTATCTTTAACTGTTAAAACCTGTAACAATCAGAATAATGAGGTTTGATGGTGGCTGCTGGGATTTCTAGGAGCTGAATTTCTAACCCAGCCTTGACTCCTGACTTGCCCTGCGCCATCGCCTTCTCGTCCCACCCGGCAGGGTTTCTTCTGCCCTATCCCTGCGTAGGACAGACGCCCTTTGGTAATGCTCCCACTGGGGGAACTGTGGGATCCCCGCTGTGAATCTGAACAGCTGCCCTAATTTTGTTTCAAGGACGCCACTCTAGCAGGGTACGGTAGGTGACGGTCAGCCCTTTTCCGTCAGCGTTCCATCATCCGCCCCCTTCCCTCCCGGAGGGACAGGCTGACACCACCCAGCAGCCTTAGCGTTGTGGGAGAGATCAGCCACAGAGTTTAAAACAAAAGATGAGATGAGGGGACACAGAGCAGAGGAGATGCCTCTGAAAGAGTCCGGAACCCAGCAGCAAAGTCCTGGAGGTCGTTGTCTCTGCGCTGTCCCGCTGCTCCCAGGTGCTGTACGAGGATTGCCGGATGGTGGCTGTGAGCGCGCCCTACGTGGCAGGATTTTTAGCCTTCCGAGAGGTCCCTTTCCTGGTGGAAGCTGTTCAGAGACTTCAGCAAAAAAAGACCGCAGGTGCAGCATATTTCTTTGTTCAAGTTGAGATGTCATAAGGACACAGAATACTGCAGGGAGTTGTTCCTCCCTCTCCTGAGAGGGCTGTTTTCCACTGGTGGGGCGGATGGTACGGTGTGAAGTTATATTGAAGCATCTCTTGCCCTTTCCTTAGGGACCGGGGATGCTTTGCCAAGAGCAGCCAGGCCTCCCATGGCCATGGGAGTCGCGTCTGCCGCTCCGGTGACGAGCGCTGCCGGCACTGAGAGCTCACACTGTGGTCATTTAGGGTGGGGTGTAGCCAGCACCACTGGAGTCCCTCGTAGAGAGAAGTGAAAGGACAGGCAGCCTTTTTCCTCACAGGGGGCAGCATCACTGTTTACCTGTTGGAGTGGCACTCAGTGTACAGGGAATAACGTTGTTTTGGCTTTTTTAGGTCCTTCTTGTAGATGGAAACGGCCTTCTTCACCCCAGAGGTAGGACTTTACTGGAGAGCCCTGCTGTCCAGGGTCCCCATGCAGCCACTTGAGAATCCTCTTCTCCGGTGTCCTGCAGTTACAATGACTCATTGTTGGCAGGATTTGGGGTAGCCTGTCACCTCGGCGTCCTGACGGATCTACCATGCATTGGAGTGGCCAAAAACCTCCTGCAAGTGGATGGTGTGGTCAAGGACGAGCTGCACAGAGAGCAGGTGAGGCCAGACTGGGAATTTATTTCTACCCTTTAATATCCCCAGGGAACTGGGACAGCAGCATACAAGTACTGTCTAACCAACGGACATGTGTTCATCCCTAGATTCGTTCCCTACAGAGAGAAGGAGATGCCTTCCCGCTGACAGGCACTTCAGGGAGAGTCCTGGGCATGGTAAGCTGGGGGGGGGGTTCTTTTTGCCGGGCCGCCGGGTGTAGCTGGGAGCACTGGTGGATGTTGTCTGCAGTGGGACATGCGTTCAGGAAGGGAACACTGGGAAGTGTCCCAGTGACATTTGTTCAGGAAGACAGGAGGTGACAGTAACCCTGCTTTCCCCCTCCTGTGAGCTCAAACGTAGAAAGACTTGGCCACTCAGGCGTTGGATATATTCACGCCCGTGGCATCTGAGGTGCTGAGCTCCAGCACCCCGGTTTGTCAGCCACAGCCGAGGGGAGGTGCCAGTTGTGCGGCAGGACGCAGCGTGGGAGCCTCTGACTCAGACCAACGCGCAGATGTTAGAAACTCCTGGTGTTATCTCAACATAGTCTGCGTTGGGAAGTCTCGGTGCTTCCCAGAGCAGCGCGAGGCATTTGGGGAAGGGCCGCAGGGGTCTGAGAGGGCAAAGAGTCCCTGTGAGGAGACACTGGGAAGAAGTTCAGGAAGGCTGGGAGTTGCCAAACACAGAGCCCCCATCCCACCTTCCGAAGGCAACGCTGGCTTGTAACTCATCTGCCGCTCTGCGTTAGTTAAGATAAGCCTCTTCGGTGTTTGATTTTTCTTGTTTCTGAACGCACAGGTCCTGCGTAGCTACAACAACAGCTCTAAGCCGCTTTATGTCTCCGTGGGTCACAGGGTGTGCCTGGAGACAGCCGTGCGCCTAGTCAAGTCCTGCTGCAGGTACCGGATCCCGGAGCCCATCCGTCAGGTACAAAAGCAGGGATGCTGAGGAAGGGAAGGCAGGGCTGGAGCAGGGAAGCCGGCAGTGGAGGGGGCTGTGGGCGCCGAGCCTGCGGCGCTGTTTCAGGGCCTGTTTGCCACCCCGCTGCCGCTGACAGCTGTGCAGCTGCCACCCTTCTCGCTGGCCGGTTCTCCCCAGCCCGTGTTGTTGTTTCTGTGGCAGCTGACTGCTCCTTCCTTCCTCCCTCCTTGTTCTGACGCAGTGCCCGCAGCGCACACAGCCCTTACCGCAGACCCAGCCCGATTTCTTGGTTCCTCTCTGCAGGCAAGTTCTGTGATGCTGGTGTTAAGCCACAGAAGCAGTGGAAATGCAGTTTTCCTGGGCACTCTCAGGCCGGCACAGACTGCAGTGCTGCTCCTCTGGGCTTTTCCCTGCGGCTGCACTCCGCAGGGAGCTGCAGGCTGGGGGGGCACCGCAGCCCGCAGGTGCA